GACAGACAGACAGACAGACACTCATAATTATATATAACATCAGATCATCCACCAGCTGCAGCAGGTCCAGTATGATAGAGTGTCTCTGGTTCATTACGGGTCAGAGGTCAGTGTTTATCAGACACTGTTAGTAACAATAATTAGGCCACAGCTCATCAGGTTCACATTGAACAGAATTTGCTTATTAAAGGAAGAAGTAGAAAGAGTTGTGAGTTTATCAACCACAATAAGACTGTTCTCTGCTCCACGTGTAGTTAACCTGCTTTAAAGTGTTGTTCTTATTACAATTCATCCTGAACCTGAATGTGTGAACCACATTTCATCACCTTCTATCGACGGGTAGTGAAGTGTTTCAGTGTGGACTCTCAGCTGGATCAGAGTTCAGCCACTGGGATGTAGTCGGGAGGATGAAGGACGGCACTCAGTGCTGTCGGATAGATTTCTCAGATATTTAACTAGATTTTATTTTCATTCAGTTTATTTAATGAATTTAGAACGGAGCAGTTTCAGAAGGTGTCCAACAGCAGGAAGTAATGAACAGCCAGCAGCCAATCAGAGGAATAAGATGTTTCTGTGTATAGACTCCATAGATTCTGTTTAACACAACCATCACACTCAAACCACCAGAAACACCCTCCCCCCTTCACCTGGTTTGCTCTGGCCATCGGTCATGGTGGGGTGTTGCCATAGCAACTAGGCCGGTCTCCACAGTGGTGCCAGCTCTGGTTACCGAGGAGCTTTGCTGCTGGTTGCCAAGGAAGTCTGCTGACGGAGAGAGAGGAGACAGAGCGGAGTCAGAGAGGGTTGCTGTCTGATCCTCATCCTACAGCAACAGCAACAGCAGCAACAACAGCAGCAGCAACAGCAGAAACAACAGCAACAACAGCAACGACAACCGCAACAACAGCAGCAACAGCAACAATAACAGCAACAATAACAACAACAGCAACAATAACAACAACAGCAACAACAACAGCAACAACAACAGCAATAACAACAGCAACAGCAACAACAACAGCAACAACAACAGCAACAACAACAACAACAACAGCAATAACAACAGCAACAATAACAACAATAACAACAGCAATAACAACAACAGCAACAATAACAATAACAACAACAACAACAACAACAACAATAACAACAATAACAACAGCAATAACAACAACAGCAACAACAACAACAACAACAACAGCAACAATAACAACAACAGCAACAACAACAGCAACAACAACAGCAACAACAACAACAGCAACAATAACAACAACAACAACAACAACATCTAAAAATAGCCCTCTATTACAAACAGCCTGGTTACCATGGCAACCCCGTCTCCAAAATGGGAGACACACACACTCTCTGTTCTGTTGCTCAGTCTGGTTTCGATGGTAACCGCACACTGAAGAGTGATGCTGCTGCCACCTGCTGGTCAGATCTGGATCTAAAGTTTGACTGTTTCCTGCCTGAACTACACCTCCCATGATGCTTTTGGGCAATGTAATGAGTGTGTGTGTGATTGTGTACCTGCAGCGTCCAGGTGAGTGACCTGCAGACGGTCAGAGGAGGCGGCCGGGTCAGAGGTCGCAGGGGTCACGGTGGCGTGTGCAGTCACTATCCTGAGGGCCGACTCCAGCAGCTGGCTCTGATTGGAGGAGAGGAGAGCCAATGAGCAGTCAGACAGCAGTCAGGTGTGAGCAGCAGACAGGTGAGTGTGTTTACCTGCAGCTGCAGCTGGTGGCTCTGCATTGTCTCCAGGTGCTGCAGCGTCTGCTGGCTCAGGCTCCGCCCCCTGTTCTCAGAGCACACAGTGATGTCACAGTGTTGTCACAGTGATGTCACAGTGGTGTCACCAGAATAATGAATGATTAAGTAGTTAAAGTATATAATATATGTAAATTATGGTAATATAACAGTACATAGTAACATACTATATTATATTGTAACATATCATAAAGTACAGTATACGAGTAATATACAATAACTAATATATAATGATATATAATATATCATATATAATAATATACAATAATATACAATATCTAATATTTAATAATATATAATATATACAGCAACTAACATAATAATATATAATAATATACAATAACTACACTACACAGTCCTCACAAATACACAAATAACAAGTACCAATGAGTGTGTGTGTACCTGTCAGTCTGCAGCAGCTTCTGTATTCCTTCAGTCAGCTGACACACTCGAGCCTCCATATCTGACTGAGCCTGAGAGACAGACAGACAGACAGTCAGAGAGAGAGACAGTCAGTCAGTGAGAGAGAGAGAGAGAGAGACAGACAGTCAGTCAGTGAGAGAGACAGAGAGACAGACAGTCAGTCAGAGAGAGAGAGACAGACAGTCAGTCAGAGAGAGAGACAGTCAGTCAGTGAGAGAGACAGTCAGTCAGTGAGAGAGAGAGAGAAAGAGAAAGACAGTCAGTCAGAGAGAGAGA